CCCTTCTGAGTGAAAAAAGTATCAGTTTGCCCCACTTTGCCTTTGGGAGGAATGAATGTGGCCTCTGAGCTACTGTAAATTGAGAAGTGTCACAAAGAGTCAGCACTAGTGGAAACCTTTCAAACCCTACAGGCAAGTAAATCATAGAGGGAGCAGACGTCAGAGTCACCTGGAACTTTCTGATGTTATATCCAGGGGGATAAACATTGCTCTGCGTTCACTCCAAGTTATCTCCATATACAAAGAGAATTCTCACACATTGTTCCACAAGCCTGGACTACAGTTTCCTAAGTGAGTTTCCAAGTGTATCTGTAGAAGGGACATCTTGCTGACCAGAGGCTCCTCATAGGTAGCAATGAAGTGGGTCAAGAGATGATGGATGGAGACAGAAATTCTTACGAGCACATGTGATTACAGAAGGCCCACTGGACACAGTCAGAATGTCACTTGTGGGGAGGGGTGGAAGACTTTGCCCTCTTTATCTGGCATATTCACTTTAGATGTCATCCACTTACTTTCAGTAAGTGCCTCAGCTAGCAGAAAGATGAAAAAACTTGCTTTCAGGTCAATAAAGGAAATCTCTTATGATCAATGGTTGATTAGAGCAGGATCTTCTAAGCGCAAGGCTCTGGTCTGCATTTTGTAAAGGGTTTTCAAATTAGTCTTACTCTGAGATCTGGGCAAGGGGCCAGTTCACCACCCAGCTGCCGCTGACTTTCAGCCCAATGGTCCATGATGAGTTCCCATAATTAGAGGAAAAAAAAATTTTAAATAAGGAAAAGAAACTTACATTTTAGAGGCATTGAATCTAAGAAAGTAGAGTGTAACAGAAGTATGGTACTATCAGGTTTTAAAAAGTACATATATTTTGTCAGATTTGGTTTCATATTCCTTACTCCAAACACTTACTAAAGTTGGAGAAATGCAGATTATAATTATTATTCGCAAAGGTACTTATGACTTGCCCTAAAAAAAAACGTAAAAGGGGATTTTGAAAGGACAAACTATAAATGGCTTATTTATAATTGACTAAGTATGTTGAGTCTTCCCTGCTTTGTGTGTGTGTGTGTGTGTGTGTGTGTGTGTGTGTGTGTGTGTAAAACTACCTTTTTAAAAGCATTTTGACCAACTGAGATCATGATAATCAAAACAAAAGCAAGTCCTCTATGAATAACTGCAGATTTTAATTAATCATATATCATTCTCATTTCACTTTCTAGAGTTGCAAATAGTCAACCAGTTGTTCTTATTTCTTTGGTCAACAGAGGATCGAGAGAAGAAAATAGAGAAGCAAAAATATTGATCTTGAGCTAATGAGCCACAATGCCAAAGGGCTACCCATTATTTCTACAGAGTTAGAATAATTTGCAAAGGACGGAAAGTCAGTGTTACAGAAAAGCAGATCCTAATGCTCATGACTTAGATGTCCACTGTCTATCAGTAGGACTCTTAGTTGCAAGTTTAGAGCACTCTTTGAAGGGGATTATAGACAACGTGATCTGTAACAAATGTTGGGTGAGCTACCTGAGATGAAGTATGGACTGTCTTTGTAAAAAAGAACCTACTTGCTTGGCCAGAACTGTCCCAGCTGAATCAACAGCTAAACTAGTTATATTCAAAATTTAATTTGAATTCAAATAAAAGCAATTGAATTGTAGGTGACTGAATTACCTGGCTGTTTGAACTGTTCATATCCGTATCCAGCCATGGTGCCCTTTGTGTTTGACTAGATCATATTCTGAAGCTTATCATCCAACGTGAAGAGTTGTTACACTCCCATTCTGAGCATGGCCTTCATTTAGATGTGTAATTAAACATGGCAGAAGCAAGGTTCGGGGCAAACGTCTAATAAATCTCTAGTATTCCTGTGGGGTGAAATATATTATTTAGTAATTTTAAATGACTAAGTTTTAATTTGGGAAAAAGCCTGTTTAGAAGAAGGAAACAGGACACATGATGCCACATGAAGATAACTTTAAAATATGGAGCATTGGGGCTTCCCTGGTGGCGCAGTGGTTGAGAGTCCGCCTGCCGATGCAGGGGACACGGGTTCGTGCCCCGGTCCGGGAAGATTCCACACGCCGCGGAGCGGCTGGGCCCGTGAGCCATGGCCGCTGAGCCTGCGCGTCCAGAGCCTGTGCTTCACAGCGGGAGAGGCCACAAAGGTGAGAGGCCCGCGTACCACAAAAAAAATATATATATATATATGGAGCATTGGCATTAAAATGTGAATTAAACATAGCGTATCAACCATAGCCACACCACCTTAGACCAGGTACATGAGGAAATATTTCCTAAACTTCCCAAAATGGCCAATATTTTAATATGCAAGGATCTCTAGCACAATCTTTGAAAAAATTTTAGGAACTATACCACCAAACTTCAAGAGGTGCTTCTCTCACAGGTTATTTAACCTTTCTCAAACATTTACATTGGATTGATATTTGAAAAGAAAGGTGAACTGAAAAGAGAAAAAAATATGTTTTATATACAAAAGCAATCTGTTCAACTTTCAATCTTTAATATATTGACGTGTTTTGTTCTAGCATTACTCAAAATTAGCTTTGAGATAAAAGTTCACATTAATTATCGATAATGTAGTCTAATCACTGCTGACATTTTGAAAGAAGATATTAAGGCAGCCAAGATAAACTAAAAAGTGGGTGAAAAATATTACATATGTTCATCACAGGAAGACTATAGTGCTCCTCAATGAGTTCATTTTTTTCTTAAACTAAAACCCTGGAGTCAAGATAAACTAATTGGGCCTTCTGACCTTCTCAAGCATGAGCTCCTTCACACTTGGCACTTCTCTGGTTCTTAGATTATGAGACAAAAAGATTTTGGATGTATTTCAGTTTTAATTTCATCGTTCTATCGATTTTTATGATTTTAAGTATGACATAAAAATAAGATACGGTGTGTCAACGATTTCCCTTTCTCAATTTAAATAATTAGCCCTAGAATTAAGTGAAGATTAAATCTAAGCTGGCACTACCTTTTGAATTTAGTGAATATTGCAAATTTTAATATTAAAACCACCAGGTACTTTTATTATTATACAAAAATCCCTAAATCCCAGTATGAAATATTTGCAACCAAACTTAGCATCTGCAAATTTTTCCTTTTAAAAAACATAAGCACTGGGCTTCCCTGGTGGCGCAGTGGTTGAGAGTCCGCCTGCCGATGCAGGGGACACGGGTTCGTGCCCCAGTTCGGGAAGATCCCACATGCTGCAGAGTGGTTGGGCCCGTGAGCCGTGGCCGCTGAGCCTGCGCATCCGGAGCCTGTGCTCCGCAACGGGAGAGGCCACAGCAGTGAGAGGCCCGCGTACCGCAAAACAAAACAAAACAAAACATAAGCATAAATTAGCTCCTATAGTTCGTTTATTTAGTCAATATAAAAAGTTGAAATTTCTACTAGTTGAACTAAGTGAAAAAAAAGCATTAAATGCAGTTATAATACAAATGCAAAAGAAAATACTGATTTTGATTGTCTCATGTTCTTCAGGATAAGTATTCTAGAAAATGAGGTTTGTGGGATAGTTACCTCAGTGAGTTTGGAGATGCCTTTATTTCTTACAATCCTATTGAAATGAATTTAATAATCTTAAAAGTATGAGGGAATCAAGCTCACAGGACGCGTTTCTAAAATCATTCTTAAAATCTTATCCTACTAAAAAAGATGCTTTTCACACATATAAACACATACGTATATGCATGGAGTTTTAGATTAAGTCCTAAGAACCAACAACTTACAAAATATTCTATTAAATTTATACTGGTTCTCTTTGTACTATCAATATGAACAGAAGCAAACTACTCCCTATGTAAAAAAAAGAAAAAGAAAAAGAAAAAAACCTTTCATTTCTGGTTTTGATGAGAATATTCAAACAAGGAAAAAGGTAAGACAGTGATCATCAAAAACTGAATCTGGGGCCCTTGGTTTGAGATAATTAACTAATCAATAGACAATTCTTCTCAGGGACACATAGGACCAGACATTTATTAAGGAACTCTTCAGAGTTTCATACAAGGTAATTAATACAGGCTTCACTATAGAAAATTACATTTTAATGACTTTCTGTTCAAGTTACATGAATTTTATGTAAGGAACAGCTTATAAAGTCTAAAATTTTCTTTCCACCCAAGTTATTAAAATTTGTATTTGAATATAGTTCCTTTCATTAACATTAAATCAGTTACCTTTAATTTATGAAAAAGGACTGCTAAGTTTTACCACAATAGTTTGCACGGCTTTGATTTGCATTCATGAAAAAACACAATAACTTAATTTGCTACTTGGAAAGAATTTGACAGATGCATTAATCATGAAGAAACCGAATTCACTTTTCTTTACTCTTTCTCACAAAGATAGATCTAAGATAAGAGACTACTGATTTAACATTCTTTAAGGAAAATGAGGTGTAATGATAATAATGGAGATATTCATAGAACTAGAGAATTTTAGAGCTGGAAGGAATCTTAGAAATTCCCTGATTTAACAAATGCGGAAAGAACAATTCCATCTCCCAAACTGTCCATGGAGCAGAGTAGTGAAGAAGGAGTATTCTCATTTTCTCCACTGGAAATCAGCACAGAAGTTAGAATTATTCAAGGGCTGACTAATTTGGCTTTTAAATGACTTTGGTTCCTCCTGAACCATGCTACTTCTTGTCCCTAAGGTTTTGAGAGTATAGTCTGAGCTCAGAGATGATGCTGAATCATAACATGAAACACCTATTGCAGAATTTAGATTTTTTTAAAAATAGCATGAAAACAGCACTAAAACTGTTCCCGACATCTACACTGTGCACTGATTCTTTTGACATGTCAATTAAATATTGTCAAATACATTTACAAGTTTGTATCACTGTGAAAATATTTGGGTAAAGATATTCAACAACAATATATTGTACTGCAAATATTTCTCTAATTTTGCTATTTGTCTTTTCACTTTGTTTTATTTTTCTTTCTCTTGCATCAAACTTTTATTTTCAGATGTAGTGCAAGTCACAGATCATCTTTATGACTCCTATGTTTATATGCTGCTTGGAAAAGCCTCTCCTATTCAGACTATCATAAGGTATTCCTATGTTGTTTTCTATTGCTTTTTTAAATTTAAATTTTGGTATTAAACAAAGTACAAAAATTACTGAAAGCAACAGCAATCACAACATTCTAAGCAAATGTTCAAATTTTAAAAATCACTTTTAAATGAAATGTAATTGTGTTTTTGATCCACTACCTACATGTTATATACCTGTGTGTGTGTGTGTGTATATATATATATATATATATATAAACATACATATACATTAATTACTGAGTTACATGAAGATTTTGGTATAAAAATTTAAATCATGGGACCATTTCATCAGAGTCACTTCACCATCATTAGAAACCTTTCAATCCTCCAGTAAAGGCTTTGGACAAGAAAATACTGTAAGTGCCTACAGATTGATCTTAATAAAGAATCAAAGGCTTTTTGTGGTTCACACATTATGTTGAATCATGGAAATAATTTATATTCTCCCTTTACTGTGGGGCAAAGAAACACTAGTATCTTAAGGAAAAGAAGAAAACAACCCATGTGCCAAACTTACTGCACTTGGGTTGTGTTTTCCTTGTGCTAAAGATTCTAAATTATTTTTACTCCATTGGTTTTTTGTTTCTATAGAAATAAATTTAATTTCTTCTTCTCTAAGCCTACAACTATTTTCTCTCTATGTTATTCGCTATATAAAAGAGCTTGCCTTACTTCTTATTAGTTTAAAAATTTTTAAATCTGTTCTTATACTACCACATATGTCAGCATGGAAAAGAGTATTTTTTGCTGGAGATAATCCTACTGACTTTTGAGAAAGAATATTATTCTGGTTACTTATTTATATATGTAGAAGGGTCACGTTATTTTTTTTAAATTATACTTAATTTTGTTGGGCTATTTATCTTCAGGAAATATTAATGATACTCAATTCTAACTAAATGATTACAGACAAACCATTCTTCATTCTGCTTTCTTTAATAAAACATACAAATCTCAGTTGACAAAATGTACTGTTTCTCCTAAAAGATAAGAATTAAAGTAAAAATATTCTCCCAAGCTCAGGGAATGCCAGCTGCCTATGTATATCCACAGAATTTTTCACTTCAAGTAAATCTTAGTGCTAAAATATTTGGTGGGAATGTGGGACCAGGTTCAGAGAAGTTTCAGGCCCTGGTCCTGCACCATCTCACCTTCAGCCCGACAGGGTAATTACCCTAAAGGTTAATAAGGCTGACAGCAGCCTCATTCAGCCAAGCAAACCTTAGCCTACTACTCCAGGTGGGTCAAAATCACTGACACAGGGAGCCCACCAGTGTTTAAGAAACACTTTCACTCATAAGTTTGAAACAGAAAGTTTTGGTTAACCCTGAATTATCCACGATATTCAGTTAATCTGTTTTTATTTGACAATATTTAAAAATGCAGAGTTATAAAAAGGTTATTAAATTTAAGATACATTTCACTTCAATATGAGGGGATTCACCAATATTTTATACTGACATGCTTCTTAGAAAATCAGTGACTGCACGAAGTGAGGTTTATTCACGTTATATTTCCTCTGGTATCGGTAGTAGGTACACTCGTGTGGCACCTGCTACTTGCTGTCCTCAACACCTGCGCAATCCCCTTAGGACTATGGAGAACAGCTGCAGCTAGCAGGTAAACAAGGATTGTATTCTCAAACTGCTGCGCAGTACGAACTGGAAGCAAGGAGGCAGGAGGTATACAAGAATGAAAGGACCTTAACATTGAAAGGTATTGTGGCTTGAGCCTCTTACCTCATCCTTTTCTTACAAAAAGGTGCTAATTTCTACAATTTTCTTTTTTATCTTTTAATACATATTAATTCATACATAAACTTTTGAGGAAACAATACTGCAGAGCTACACCCATATCCTTTAGACTGTATGTAATTATTTTTTCGCTTCCTTTTGTCATTTATTCCTCTGCCTCTTTTTAAAACACTCCCTTTAGTTCCTAGCTTCCTTTACTTTAAAAAGCAGGTGGTATGATGGCTGGGATTTGACATTCTTGATTAAATAACTGCACTATCTAAGCCATCTTCTAGTTTTCAGGGACCTCCTTTTGTGAAACTACAAAACTGTCTACTGTAATTTCTCTAATGCTCTCTCCTTCTCTGAGCAACTTAGACTGTCATATCAGTATTTGATACTGTGAAACTTGGAGGAAATTTCAGATTGTTTCAATAACCATTTCTGTTATTGTGCTGCTTTTAACTTCTCATTTTGGTTCACAGACAATTTATATTTAAATATCTTCTATATATACATCAGTAATAGAAAGAAGTACTGATAGTTTGATAATTCTTAACATCTTCATTTTTGTCTTAAATTTTTTTTTGCAATTTTAGTACCAATATCTATAAAACATTGAGTTTAGATGACTTCATTTTATGTATACTGACTAGAAGAGCTCCCTCTTTTACTAATGTTTCCATCTAAGATTACCAAGGTGATTTTTTCAAAAGGCTCAATGGAGGGAGTTCCCTAGCGGTCCAGTAGTTAGGACTCAGTGCTTTCACTGCCATGGGCCCAGGTTTGATCCCTGGCGGGGGAACTAAGATCCCACAAGTGGCATGACCAAAAGAAAAAAAAAAAAAGGCATGAGGGAAGTGAATCCAGAGTTTGGTTAATAGTGCAAGGTCACTTTAAGGGACAGCTTAAATCCATTCTATACGCTTTGGGGCTGCTCTGCCCCTTCTAGGAGTTCCCCTTGAGCATCTCTACCAAATGAGTCTGATGCCAGATCTGGCTACCTGGGGTCTTGTGCCCCCCTCAGACTCTGGGTGTCTGTAATACAGATAAACAATCAGATTCCTCCCCAGCAGAGATAGTTGAATCTCAGAATTACTGTCTTAATATTACCCCTTCTTGCCCACAGTCTGGCTTCTGCCGTTTCTTTGGAAGTGCTTGTGATAACTTTAGCTTTTGCTGGTTTGAGTTCCATGAGTAGCAGCAGTGGTGACTGAGTCAAGGACAAAAAGACGTTTTAGCACAACTCCTCATATGTGCTAGCGTCAGAATGAGGTTCTATCCACCAATGAGCCCAGAGGAGAGATCAGAGGACAGCATGCATCAGAACACACCAACTCTTGGACTTTCCTGGTGGTGCAGTGGTAAAGAATCCGCCTGCCAATGTAGGGGACACGGGTTCGATCCCTGGTCCAGGAAGATCCCACATGCCGCGGAGCAACTAAGCCCGCGCACCAAAGCTACTGAGCCTGTGCTCTAGAGCCCGTGAGCCACAACTACTGAGCCTGAGTGCCACAACTACTGAAGCCTGTGGACCTAGAGCCCGTGCTCCGCAACAAGAGAAGCCACCGCAATGAGAAGCCCGTGCATGGCAACGAAGAGCAGCCCCCGCTCGCCGCAACTAGAGAAAGCCCGCGCGCAGCAACAAAGACCCAACGCAGCCAATAAATGAATAAATAAATAAAATTAAGAACACACCAACTCTCAATACTGACATCCAAGTCACCGTGTCCTCATGAGAGGAGGGATGTGGAAGGCGGGGGTCCATGGTGACTATGGGAGAAGCGTAGATCCCAAATTCATTGTGTTTTATTGAAGCTTTGGTACAACACTTTGTATGGCACGGGTGACAGTTATTCTCTGCATCAGAAATGTAACTGAAAATGTTATTCCATATTGGAAAAAATCAGAGATATCTTAGCTTGCTAATAATTTTAATGCGTTACTTTCAAGCTCTCAACTGACTGAAGCTCTCTTTACTCTTCAGCTAAATGATACCTTATATCTCATTGGGTTTCTCTACTTTTATTTTTAAGCATAACTATTGTTAGGTTTCAGAATCAAGCTGGCATCCTACCTAGCACACCTGGGAGGAATAAGCACACTGATTTGCCTATTACAGAATGGATCAAAACAAGTACTATTACTTACCAAGATATGAATAACTGTTACAAACCCACAGTGGGCCATGCACTACTCTGAACACTTAAAACATTAACCCTAACCCTACCCCAAATCCGCAAGGTAGTTGTTATTACCTTATCTTACGGATGAGAAAATTTAATCCGGAAAGAGGTAAAAGCTGCTAACTCACAGTAAGTGGTAGAACCAGAATTTGAATCTGGGTCTCTCTGTCACTCTACTTTACCTCTCAACACATCTGTAATGATTGAGAGCCATGGTTCTCAGTACGGAATGCTTGGATGTGGCTCTAAGTAGTCATATACCTTTACTTATTTGTAGAATCACCAAGAATTCTTCAGGTACAAATTCAGATTGTTACCAGTGTCTTAATGGTGAGGCTTGAACAACTCTAGAAAGATTATAAACCAATAAAAGTATAATCTGCTATCAACTTACACAGTGGCTCTATTTCTGGGAAAATTCAGTATATATTAAAACCATTTGAAATTGAGTTTAATATAAAAAAGAAGATCCAAGTTCAGACAATTTATTACAGTTTTTGTTTTTACCTTCAAGAATGTCCAGCAGGGCACTCTAAACTGGTGAGGGAGTTAGGATGACTATTGTGTGCTACTGTCCATGTTCTACCGGGCTTCTAGGACCCCTGTGCCCTGCTGCTAACTGCCTTTATAGTGGCCCTAATCATTATGAAAACCCAGTGTCCTACAGATTTCTGAAAAAAACTTTAGGGGGCAGTATTGCCCCCAGTGGGAATTACTGCTGTCAATGTGTTCCTTTGGTTAAGATGTGAAAAATAGTAGTGGTGGACAAAGGCTTATTCAAAAAATGAGGAATTCTCACCTAACTCCTTGTATTTTATTATTATTATTATTATTTTTTTTTTTACTTCAGGATAACACATTACACTGCTAGGTCATTGTATTAGGTCACAATAATATAACAAATTACCCCCAAAGGTAGATGCTTAAAATAACAAGCATTTATTAACCTCACAGTTACTGTGAGTCAAAATTTGGGAGCAGCTTAGCTGAGTGGCTCTGGCCTAAGGCCTCTCATGAGGTTGCAAGTAAGATGTTGGCCTTGGCTACTGAAGTAGCCACAGTCTTCTGAAGGCTTGATTAGTTAATCTGAGGATCCACTTCGAAGCCCACTGGCATGGCTGTCAGCAGGAGGCCTCAGTTCCTTCCTGGCTGCTGACCAGATGCCTCAGTTCCTCACCACAGGGGCCTCTCCATAGTTTGTGTCCTCATACCCGGCAGAGAGAGAGAATGAGGAGAAGCTTAAAAGCCTTTTATAAATTTAGCTAACTTTCAGGTTCTCTTGTTTACTATTTACTTGTGCTCCCAAGTAGAATTCCAACATCTCATTTGCATAAACATAATCTGTTGACCCCTTATCCTTTGAAGATCTGCATGGAAAAACTCAGGGCAATACTGCATGCCAACTGGAAGAGTGGGCCTCAGTGGGAGTATTCCCCCTTCCCATGGGCCATCTCTGTGAGGTTTTACTGCTGAGTAAGGGCCAATCACTTCAGGAATTCATAGTCAAGTTCTTATGTTTGCTAATTATCTAGAAATGTTTTATACAGTCAATAATGTGAAAGAATTCACAGACTCCCACTATAGATCAGAATTGCAAAACACTGAAGGAATATGCTTCCTCTACCTATCCAGATTCTGTTCATCTATTCTTCAAGACCCAGGCTAAGACCTGACTTCTCCAGCTAGCTCTTCTGATTACCAAAGACTGCACTAAAATTTATCTCCTGAACTTCTTTAGTACTTGAAGCCTGCATTACATAATTCAACTCTTGGTGGTTTTTATTGTTTATTGTTTTATCAGCTAAGACTGAAGAGGATCCTCAGATCCCTAACCCCACTAAACCTCTACTATAGAAACAAAAAATCTAATTATTCCCTAATTACTGAACTAATTGTCATAAAATTATTTAAACTTTTCCTGAGAATTTCTTAACCCTATATTCTACAAGGCATGTAAGCTAGCATTACTTGCTCATCTATATAACCACTTAGAAGGCAAAAAGAAGACACTGGAAAATAAATTGCTGTAAGCTAGAATACGTATCACTCAAGTCTCAGATGCTTCATTTATAGCAAGGCAAGAAACACTTTTAAAAGGATTTTAAAATGATAGTAATCATTATTTCTGGTACCTATTATTTACTATTTTAACAATTATTAGAAATAGGATTTCATATAAGAAAAGTCAGCCAATCAAAGAATACTTGTGTATCGTAATTATAATAGCAGGGATTTCTGTTGTTCCCACTTATTTTGTTGTTGCTTGTTTACATGGAGAATATCAGGTGAGTAAGAACTGAGCTGACCTGAAATATTAATAATCAAGCCCTGCAGAAAATTTTCATTCAAGCATTATTATGAACAAAATATAGTTATCATAACTATTTGGTGAGCTTATTTCACAGAGTCTTTGTTTTCCTTTTATGAAATAGCACTTGAGAAAAATAAACAAGAGTTTTTTCTTTAAAATATTAATCACATATGGACTTTTTAAACCCTAGAAAGTCTACAACGTTTAAATAACCCTCCTCATTCAAAACCAAACCAAACAGAAAACCACTACATACTGAGCAGGCTTTGGGCATCTTTTAATATGTCTAGTCCACACAATTACTCTAGAAGGTGGATATTACGGCCTCATCTTACAAAGGCCACAGATCGAATCCCAGAGATTGCCCAAGGTTTCACAGCTACTAAAGTTGAAGGCAGAATTAGAACCCATTCCCAAACCCCTACAATACTCCCTTTATCATGCTGCAAGATGGTACCATTTGCACTGTTGCCATATGTGAGTGGGCTGGACCTGCATGGCTGTATATGGCAGACCTCTTCATTTGCATTGCCAAAGGGAAAACCCTGAACTCAATATTGTGCCCAACCTAGAGAGGACTTCTGATCGAGACCAATCCTAAGCCTGGTCCTATTAAGCATTATAAATACTGGGACAAAAGGAAAAGGAGGGGTGTTGGAACATGAAGGCAGGGTATTTCAGTGTGGGAGAAAGAACTTTCTAAGGGTCAGAGAAAGAGTGCCCGGTGAAGAGAGATCCTGAGCTCCCAGGGCTGCAACTCATCTCAGCAACAAGTGCCTTGCAGACCCAGGGGAGCTGGGGAGCTGGGGTGTCTGGCAGTTCACATCATCCGGATCTCTCCCCACACAAGTTTTCAAGTAAGACTTTCATGAATTCTAATGCATGTGGAATTATAGAGTGGAAGTCAGTAGAAAAATAGGATTTGCTTTACAGAAATTTACCATGTAGCCAAATGCTATAACACATAGTCCGTAAGGTGAGGGAGGGCTGAAATCACAGTGCTGTGCTCACTGGCTGTGTAAGGTCAGTTGCTTTAAATGTTATATTTACAACCATTTTCCCTCTTTGCACTATGTTGCTGCGGGACTGAAGGAGACTATTTCAAACAAAGGGTCTCTGAGGGTCAAGGCTATGTTGACTTAACTTGCCAATGTGGGACACTGGTCAGAGCCTGATAGGCATTCTATGAATTTATAATGTATGTTATTTGGGGTTGGTAATTATGATTAGGCTACAGCTTCAGTCTGAAACAATTCAGCAGTAAAATCGAGACTAAAATGTGAGGTCATTGCCTCCCAGCAGTCAGTCATAATCAAGTTACTGGTGCGTGAGTATGACACAGAGATTTTAGGGAAGGAGACTGCCCTTTAAAATGCTCCATTCAAGCTGGAAAGCCTTCTGGACAAACGAGTGAGAAGGAGCTGACTCACTAATGTGCCTGAAAACACTTTAAAACTGTACTTTAAATGATGCTCTGCTTTGAACAGATAATTAGCCCAATTCTTCCCTTTCTCTGTGTCTGTAACTCCCATTGAAATCAATGAGAACTGCATATTCAAAAGGATGAGAGAACAAAGTTGCAGGTTGAATTAATGGGATGAAGGACTGCAGATCTCTTAAAGCTTGTGCAATTAAATTGTGGCCTCACACAATTCTCTAGGGTCACCAGCAATTTGTTGGCCTAGGAAAGCTAGCTGACTTCGTTTTCAGAGGTGTCACAATTTATAGAATGCATGCTTTTAAACATCAACACGTGAGCCTTCTCAGCTCAAAATCTACCTCCTCACTCTAATCTCTTTAGGACCTGATAGCTTGGAGTCTGGGATTTTATTCACTTGACCTTATCACCAGCTAAGATCATCAGTCCATCAGCAAAATCTCCATTTAAAAGTCATGCAAACTAAGCACGTGTGGATATCTTATTTTTCTATAAAAA